TGCAGGCCGGATTTTTAAAAAGGCCATTAAAAAAAAAAATGGAGAAATAAAAAAAAAAAAAAAAAACCCAGAAATTTTTGCTCAGGTCTGCCTCCAAAGTGTTACTGTAAAATTATGAACTTACATGCAGTGGTTACAATGCTTTCCAAATGCTGGTGCATGGGAAAAAACCAAAAACAAACAAACAAGAAACAACAAAACAAGAAGAAAATAAAGCACACATGCAAAGAAATTAGGCAAAAAAAGAATTAACAACCTTGCAGCATTTTGTGATCTTCAAGAATATGCCTTTAAGCATTGCTCATTTTTCGAGAGTAACTGAGTTCAAAGATTCTAACATTTTTGAATACAGAAAGTTTGTAATCATATTTTTATATACCTATGTATGTGGAATCATTTTTCATTCCAAATTACACAACAGATCAGCTTCGATGTAGCAATCCCCGTCATTTCTATCACCTTATGATTTTCAAGAGGAAAGTGCACAATTTTCAAAATTCCCTCCTAACGTCAGTTCTGTGGAAGCAGATTCTCAATTCATAAGGCAGAAGAAGTAAACTTTGAGAATTCACCAAATATTGTGTGATAGCTGATGCAATGGCAACTCAGAAGACATAAGCACCTCCAGAATATTGGGTGAAAATTACTGAAATACCATGGATTTCTCTTTCTGCTTATTTTAGCATGTCCAGCTGAATTAAGGATACTGCAAGAAAGAGATTTTTATGGTCAAGGGCCATAAAGTGTTGATCCATGAAATCACATGACTGAACTTGAAATATATTTTTGGCAGGCCTAAAAATGTGCAAATCATTCAAGTCCATCTGATTGCACACCATATTCAAATAAGCAGGGGCATAATTTTGTCTGCAAATTGAAATGTCCATATTTATGCAGAAAATGTTTGGAGGCACCCTGAAAGTTTGACTCTTGCTGTATATCTTGGAGTAGCCAGCAGGGTGCTTTGTAAACTGTCACTGTAAATTTCTTGTGTAGCTATTTAATCCAATGAATTTAAAGTGTACAAAATGGAAATTATCAAAAGAGCATAGATAGGAAATTCAGCACTGGCAAGCTTCTTCTAGTATAAGTCACAGCTCATCTTTATTACTTGGGAATTTAAGAAGTTATGAAGAATTTGCATACTAAACTAGCACTTAAAAATGATGTTTATTTTGTGTCAAAGATTTAAAATTTATATGAGAATACACTGAAATGTAGATAGCAAAAGGTTTCTTTAAGAAATTTTTTCTTTCTATTTAGATCATTCAGTTTCTTCCTTTCTGTCATGCACTTGTCTTCCTCCCATGAGGATCTCTCCCTGAGGCTCATGGCTGTGCCATGACCTTGAGAGCTTCCTGTGTTTCTTGGAGCCACATGAAATTACAGAAGAAAAAGGATGCATTCTGGCAAAGTGTAATGCTGCCTCAGCATGACTCAGTATTGATTGTCAGTAGATCAGAAAATGCTGAGGAGGTGTTCTAAGTTCTGTAAGACATACTTGTTGGCAGAAAAGCTTTGCCTTGCTAAGGAAGCCAGGAAAATTTGTTCCTCCTCTTGGGACAAATATCACTGGAGGAAAAAAAAAAAAAAAAAAAAAAAAAAAAAAAAAAAAAAAAAAAAAGAAAAAAAGCAGTTTTCCAAAATGTTTTTGCTTATCACTGTATTTATAGTAATAGCTCAAAAAAGAGTAATAAATTTTATGAACACTTATTTTTCAAGAAGACAATATAGATTGGGTTGAACATGCTGGCAAGTAAAACTCTCAAAGTGTGCCAGAAGGTGTTTCATTGCTTGAAAATTTAGTTCCTAAGTTAGAGAAAGTAGCTATTGGGAAAGGCTGACTTGTGAATGAAACAAATAGAATTGAGTTTGAAAGTGTTGGCAATTTCTCTCATGTCTGTGGGAAAGGTGGTTATTTCATAGCAGGAGTCTGCTGAAGGTAGTAGTATGACTCAGAGGAGAGGGCAGAGCCCTCTGTGGGAACACTGTGGGTGGCTGTGCTTTGCAGAGCCTGGGAGATCTGCTGAGGCAGTGGGACGTGGTTGCTGTGCTCATCTGGACAGCTGGAAGGGTCCCCTGCCTGAAGGGGGTCTGAGCATAGAACACATGAATGGAAGGAAAAAAGTGACATAGAGGAATTGTGGATAGAAACCCTGCTTCGTTCATTATGAAAGAAACCAAAAATCTATTTGTTGAATTGTAAAGATAAATTAATACAGCAGTGATTTCAGTTCCAAGTAAGACATAGATTTTACTTTAGGAAAATGTATTATTTTGCCCATTTGTTTGAAAGAATTAAATAGTGCTTGTCACTACAGCATTTGAACACATCAGAATTGTAATTCTTTTTCTCACAGTATCTCTGAAAAGACAGCAGTATTGTTAGCCTCTTATGACTTTGTAAAGGAACAGAATTTTGAATTGTGACTCACCTATGCACATGTAGGAAGTCTATGGTAGAAGAAAAAATATTTGTAGTTATTATTATTCATTCAGTTTGTTAACAATTAGATCATTTTCCCAGCTTCATAAAATTACTCACAAATTGCGTAAGACACACGTAATTCTTATGCAGTATACTTTTAAGTTTTTCACTATTTAGTTATGATAAGCTGTTAACCAGAGCTTTTCATTTTTCCCTGTGACATTTCATATCTTATTTTAAAGCATCAGCCTAACTGAAAAATATATAAATCAAAAGAACAGTCTGTCTCCCTAGATGAAGACTATGCAAATATAAATCAACAGTATTTATCAATGTAGAGTATGTTTAAGATCAGTGTTTCATTTTAGACTTCCTTTGCACTGTAAAAACGGTAATAAGCTGTGTATAACCACACTACTTTCCTCTTTCATGATGCTTTCTTTCTTTTCACATTTCTCCTATTATCATGTTTTCAATTATAATGTCTATTTAAAAGATAAGTATACATACATACATATAAGTATGTCAAGGGGATAGCACTGTAGCACATTATTCGTACACATTTCTTAGCAATTAGTAAACTTGTTATTTTTATCCATACTAGCCTTTCCACGCAGCACTGGAAGAGCAGTATGTTACTGCTTTTCTTGATATACAACAGAAAAACCTACTGAAAGCAATATTGCAAGCATCAGGAACATCTCACTTAAATCTGGCAGGCACTAAAAGGTACCAGAACCTAATTTTACAACATGAAACCAGTTTTATTCCTAAAAATAGACACATTTGGGTTAAAATGTGATTCTAACAACTATGAAGATAAATATTTTTATTTGGCAAAGCAAATAAAGCAAATTTATGTAAAAATTAATAATAAATTGGATGTGCAACCAGAGATTAGGCAACCAGAGGTTTCTGGCCCCTCCAGCTCAGTTCTTAACTTCAGCACTGAAGTAGGTAACTTAGTGTGAATGGACAAGCTCCTTTTCTGTAGGGCAGGGATTATCTGCACACTCCTGCCTCAATATCAGGTTGTTTTAGAGATTGCTGATCCCATACATGATTTTAGAAATCTTAGGAAACAGCATCTCTATTAGAGAAATCTTGAGCAGCTTCTTGTGTTCTGTGGGCAGTTCCTTTGCTTGTCTGGTTTCACTGTAAGTCATTATTACTACAGACACAACCCACGTACCCTGACCCCTTACCTGAGCCCTTTAGTACATATCCTGTGCTGAATCATTTTGAGCATAGTGTTCCTCTTCTTCAGAGCTTGAGTCAGGGGAATCCACCCAAAACTGAAGCCAAGGGTTTTCATCTCACCTGGCACCAAGAGGCTGGAGTTAGGGTCATGTTCATCTAATGAATTCTACATAACCCAATTGGTAATTTCTTTAATTGCCTATTGTGTAGATGATGACCCATTCAAAAATAAAAGCAGATAAGATAATCAGACTGTACTGTTCTTAACTATACCACTTAACAGGAATAAACGGGGATTTACATACTTTTTAAGAAAACCACAACATTCTGCATAGCATTTTCTTTTTCCTGTAAAAGTATTCCATGTGCTTTATTGATTAAAAAAGAAATTAAGAGTCTAACAAGTCTCCTGTGTAGTTTATTTGCTTGTTATTGATACAGGAATAATATTAAGTCATCTCAGTACCTAAAAACAGATTCATCTACCTGTCAATATAAAGGCATTGTAGAAACAGGCATTTTGCATAGCATCACATCCAGGAAAGCTTGATGTGGTCAAGCTGTCAGAAATATGTTGCCATTAGATTCATGGACTTTGTGCTTATATCCATGTTTGAAAGCTTTTTAGAAGATCATATGACTTCCTGGCACAGAGTTCTTTCCATGACACTAAATAAAAGTTGAAAGACACATTCATTTGTTCATCTAACCATTCTTCCTGTCCAGCAATTCCTCTTTACAACTTATTCCTGTAACCCAAATAGTTTATGGTCTTCCATAATTATAAATTACTTTCATTAACGTCCTTATACCTAGTAAATGTTTGTATCAAAACTTCTTAGAAGACAAAGATTATATCTTTTATATCACCATTAACTTTTAGGAAACACTACAAAATATGTAATTGTTCTCTCATCAGAGACTACTTCGATGCTGAATCACATTCTCTAACAGCAACATCCTGTCTAGTCATGGGGGAGTGTTTACCAAATTAACTAGTCTGTATGGATCTGATCATTAAGAGTTTGTAGGACATTGTCCACGGACATTTATCATAGGAGCATTTCAATGAAAATCAGGGGAAAAAATCCATCTCTAGTTTTGTTTGGTTGGTTTAAATTGCTTTTCAGTGGAATTAATGAATGACCAGAGTCACTTTCTCACAGCAAGAACTGTGATATGATGTGTGATTTTTACAGAACTGGATTATAATTAATTGTGTTCCTCAGAAGTAGGCCGTAATACTTCAGA